TTTCCATCCCTGGTGGTCCCAGTGGGATTCCCTGGTGGTCCAGTGTGGAGAGTGAACTCTAACCCGTAGCTCCCGGGCTAGAGTTCACTCTCGCGAGATTTGGAGCGTTGCCGTAGTAACCGCGGCAACGCTCCAAATCTCGCGAGAGGAGGACCCGGAGGAGCTGCAGGCTGAGCTCTCGGGTCCTCTCTCTCCTCCCTCTCCCTCCCCTGCCGGCTCTCAGCACAGTGCCTGCGGACGTGGGAGGGAGATCTCTGATCTCCCCTCCGGTCCGCAGGCACATCGCAGGGCTGGCGCCTGCATGTGCTGGCAGGGGAGAGGGAGACTGGTGGATTTCTCGGGGGGGGGCAATTGCCCCATTACCCCCCCCCTGGATCCGCCAGTGATTGTAACTTCACAAAATAGTATAGTATAGGTCATACATTGGACACATTGTTTTACTCAGAAGTAGAGTTGAGCGGACACCTGGATGTTCGGGTTCGGCCGAACATCAGCAAAAAGTTTGAGTTCGGCCTTGAACTTGACCCGAACTTAACCCCGTACCCCATTGAAGTCAATGGGGACCCAAACTTTTGGGCACTAAAATGGCTCTAAAAAAAGTCCTGGAAAGGGCTAGAGGGCTGCAAAAGGAAGTAAAATGGGGGCAAGAGTAGGACAAGTGCCCTGCAAACAATTGGGGTAGCTCCCAAAATATTGGGACATATAAGAAAAAAAAAGCAAAGAATAAGTGCACCTGAGTATAACAATGGCTGGGTGAGGCCGGTATAAATGTCTATTCTGCACAAGGTACAGACAAGTCTGGTGGGATCCATGCCTGGTTCATTTTAATAAACGTGAGCTTGTTCACGTTGGCTGTGGACAGGCGACTGCACTTGTCTGTGATAACGTCCCCTGCCATGCTAAACACACGTTCAGACAATACACTGGCTGCAGGGCAGGCCAGCACCTCCAAGGCATAAAGGGCAAGCTCAGGCCATGTGCCCAATTTGGAGACCCAGAAGTTGAATGGGGCAAGCCCATCAGTCAGTACGTGTAGGCGTGTGCACATGTACTGTTTCACCATGTTGCTGAAATGCTGCCTCCTGCTAAGACGTTCCATATCAGCTGGTGGTGCTTGTTGTTGTGGCGTGCTGACAAAGCTTTTCCACATTTCGGCCATGCTAACCCTGCCTTCTGAGGTGCTGGCGGTGCCACAGCTACGTTGGCGACCTCTTCCTCCTCCTCTGCCTTCGCCTTGTGCTTCCACTAAGCCTCTGGTGTCAGTTGGGAATGCCCTCAGCAGCGCGTCCACCAGCATGCGCTTGTAGTCGCGCATCTTCCGATCATGCTCCAGTGAGGGTATTAAGGAAGGCATGTTGTCCTTGTAATGGGGATCCAGCAGGTTGGCCACCCAGTAATCAGCACAAGTTAGAATGTGGGCAACTCGGCAGTCATTGCTCAGGCTCTTTGGTGACTCTAGATAACCTCGGGCCGATCGCACGTCCCCGTGACGACGGCGACGACGCATTCAGATGTCTGCCCTATCAACTTTCGATGGTACTTTCTGCGCCTACCATGGTGACCATAGATAACTGGGAATCAGGGTTTGATTCCGGAGAGGGAGCCTGAGTAACGGCTACCACATCCAAGGAAGGCAACAGGCGCGCAATTTACCCACTCCCGACGCGGGGAGATAGTGATGAAAAATAACAAAACAGGATTCTTTCGAGGTCCTGTAATTGGAATGAGTACACTTTAAATCCTTTAATGAGGATCTATTGGAGGGCAAGTCTGGTGCAGAGCGACTGACCCGTGCGTGCTGCAGCTGAAACTCCACTATCGTCTGCTGCTGCTCGCACAGTCTCTCCAGCATGTGCAACGTGGAGTTCCACCTTGTGGGCACGTCGCATATGAGGCGGTGAGCGGGAAAGCTAAAGTTACACTGCAGTGCAGACAGGCGAGCAGCAGCAGGGTGAGAACGCCAAGAGTGCGCACAGATGGCCCACACTTTCTGCAGCAGCTCTGATATATCTGGGTAGTTTTTCAGGAATTTCTGCACCACCAAATTCAGCGCATGCGCCAGGCAAGGGATGTGCATCACACCGGCTAGGCCCAAAGCTGCTACGAGATTTCGCCCATTATCGCACACCACCAGGCCGGGCTTGAGGCTCAGTGGCAACAACCACTCATTGGTCTGTTGTTCAATGCCCGCCCACAGCTTCTGCGCGGTGTGGGGTTTTCCCCCAAACATATGAGTTTTAAAACAGCCTGCTGTCGTTTCCCCCTGGCTGTGCTGAAGTTGGTGGTGAAGGTGTTACGCTGACCGGATGAGGAGGTGGTAGAGGAGGAGGAGGAAGCGGAGTAGGAGGAGTAGGCAACAGGAGGCAAAGAGAAATGCCTTGCAATCCTCGGTGGCGGAAGGACATGCGCCAAACTGCTATCCGCCTCAGGCCCAGCCGCCACTACATTTGCCCAATGTGCAGTTAGGGAGATACAGTGTCCCTGCCCATGTATACTGGTCCACGTATCAGTGGTTATGTGGACCTTTCCACAGATGGCGTTGCACAGTGCACACCTGATTTTCTAAAATTAGAATATGTGTAAAGGAGTCATTATCAAATTGGAGCAATTTAAATGGAGTCCAAGAGAAATTGGATTATTTAAAAGTTGCACTGCTGAAGGCAACAGAAAATTGCATTAGGCTTGTCAGTAAAAGCAAAAAAAAAAAAAAAGAAACCACTATGGTACTCCACAGATGTGGCCAAAATAGTAAAAAACAAAAAGTTAGCATTTAGTAATTATTAAAAAAAACAGAGTGAGGAAGACAGAATGCTCTATAAGATTAGGCAGAAAGAGGCTAAGCAAGTTATAAGAGCTTCCAAATCACACACAGAAGCGAAAATAGCACAGTCAGTAAAAAAGGGGACAAAACATTTTTTTAGATACATAAATGAGAAAAGGAAAGTAAAATAAGGATTACTTAGATTAAAAACAAAAGAAGGAAGGTATGGAGAAGAGGATAAAGGTCTATCTGACTGCCTCAATTAATATTTTTGTTCAGTATTTACAGATAAAAATTAAGGAAAGGGACCTCAGTTAGGAAAAAAGGACAAATGAGCCATTTATTACATGTGAGTTTACAGAGGAAGAGGTTTTATTCAACTGTCAAAAGTAAGTTAATGGGTCCGGATGGAATACACCCAAAGTTATTAAAAGTGTTTAGTGGTGTACTAGCAAAACCATTAACAGATTTATTTAACCAATCATTGTTAACAGGAGTAGTCCCAGAAGATTAGAAGTTAGCGAATGTTGTGCCCATTCACAAGAAAGGTAGTAGGGAGGAGTCGGGCAACTATAGGCCAAGTAAGCCTTACTTCAGTAGTGGGGAAAGTAATGGAAACCATGTTAAAAGATAGGATTGTTGAACATCTAAAAACACATGGATTTCAAGTTCAGCGACAACATGGGTTTACTTCAGGGAGATCATGCCAAACTAATCTTATTGATTTTTTTGATTGGGTAACTAAAATAATAGATCAGGGTGGTGCAGTAGACATTGCTTACCTAGATTTCAGTAAGGCTTTTGACACGGTTGCACATAGAAGGCTTATCAATAAACTGCAATCGTTAAGTTTGGATTCCAATATTGTAGAATGGGTAAGGCAGTGGCTGAGTGACAGGCAACAGAGGGTTGTAGTCAATAGAGAATATTCGAAGCTTGGGTTTGTCACCAGTGGGGTACCTCAGGGTTCTGTGCTTGAACCCATTCTCCTTAATATTTTTACTAGTGATCTTGCAGAAGGACTTGATGGTAAGGTATGTCTTTTTGCTGATGATACTAAGATATGTAACATTTTTGATGTTCCAGGAGGGATAAGCCAAATGGCAAATGATTTAGGTAAACTAGAAAAATGGTCAGAGTTGTGGCAACTGACATTTAATGTGGAGAAGTGCAAGATCATGCATCTTGGATGTAAAAACCCAAGGGTAGAGTACAGAATATTCGATAGAGTCCTATCCTCAACATCTGAAGAAAGGGATTTAGGGGTGATTATTTCTGATGACTTAAAGGTAGGCAGACAATGTAATAGAGCAGTAGAAAGAGGGAAGTGCTCATGCCATTGTACAGAACACTGGTGAGACCTCACTTGGAGTATTGTACGCAGTACTGGAGACCGTATCTTCAGAAGGATATTGATACTTTAGAGAGAGTTCAGAGAAGGGCTACTAAACTGGTTCATGGATTGCAGGATAAAACTTACCAGGAAAGGTTAAAGGATCTAAACATGTATAGCTTGGAGGAAAGACGAGACGGGGGGATAGGATAGAAACATTTAAATACATAGAGGGAATCAACACAATAAAGGAGGAGACCATTTTTAAAAGAAGAAAAACTACCACAACAAGAGGACATAGTCTTAAATTAGAGGGGCAAAGGTTTAAAAATAATATCAGGAAGTATTACTTTACTGAGAGGGTAGTGGATGCATGGAATAGCCTTCCAGCTGAAGTGGTAGAGGTTAACACAGTAAAGGAGTTTAAGCATTCGTGGGATAGGCATAAGGCTATCCTTACTATAAGATAAGGCCAGGGACTAATGAAAGTATTTAGAAAATTGGGCAGACTAGATGGGCAGAATGTTTCTTATCTGCCGTCCCATTCTATGTTTCTATTTTGTATGCCAATTGGTTGTGCAGGGAAGGGATGGATCGCCCGGAAAAGTAGTGGCGGCTGGGAACCACGTACTGTGGGACAGCCACCGCCATCAGGTTTTTAAAACTGTCCGTCTCCACCAGACTGAATGACAGCATTTTAAAGGCCAGGAATTTTTAAATGCTGGCATTCAGGGCCAGGGATCGCAGGTGGGTAGGGGGGTACTTCCTCTTTCTCTCCAGTGTTTGGGAGATGGACAGCTGAACGCTTCCATGGGACAGTGTGGAGATGCTTGAGGACGGTGGCAGATGTGGTGGCATTGCTGCCACATCCTCTGTTTGCTGGGTGGCAGGTGCCACTGTCACTCCAGAGGTGGAGCAAGAGGCCGAGACAGCAGCAGAAGTGGAAGCAGGAGGAGCCTGAGACCTTTCTTGGTTTTTGAGGTGCTTACTCCACTGCAGCTCGTGCTTCGCATGTAGATGCCTGGTCATGCAGGTTGTGCTCAGGTTTATAATGTTTATGCCTCGCTTCAGGTTCTGATTGCACAGCATGCAAACCACTCATGTCTTGTCATCAGCACATTGTCTGAAGAACTGCCACGCCAGGGAACTCCTTGGAGCTGGCTTTGGGGTGCTCGGTCCCAGGGTGCGGTGGGCAGTAGCAGGCGTACTGTTTAGGGGATGGCCGCTCCGCTTTTGCACCCTGCTCCCTCTTATGCTGTGCTGGTGCCTCTGTGCGACCACCGCCTCCAAACTGGACACGTCACTCGCATGACCTTGATTCCATGTGGGGTCTAGAACCTCATCATCCTCCACATCATCTTCCACCCACTCCTCAACCCTGCCCTCCTTGCTGGTCTGCACACTGCAGAAAGCCACAGCAGTTGGCACCTGTGTTTCGTCATCATCAGAGATGTGCTGCGGTGTTCCTCGCATGTCCACATCCTGACACATAAGTGGTTGTGCATCAGTGCACTCAATCTCTTCCACTTCTGGGGCAGGGCTAGGTGGATGGCCCACGGAAACCCCACCAGAAGAGTCATCAAAAACATAAGAGACTGCTGCATGACTTGTGGCTCAGACTGCTTGGATGATTTGCAAGGGGCTGAGGTGAAAGACAGATGGCCGTGGGCTGCTGGTGCTAACTTTGAGCTTTCAGCAGGGGACCGGGTGGGAGACAATGTGAAGTAACTGGAGGCACTGTCAGCTATCCAATCTACTATTGCCTGTACTTGTTCTGGCCTCACCATTGGTAGAGCGGAATTCGGGTCTACCAAATAACGCTGAAGGTTCTGTCGCCTACTCGCACCTGAAGAAGGTGTTTCACTTGTGTGTGTAGATGGCACAGATCGACCACGTCCTCTCCCTGCAACAGGAGCTCCACCAACACCAGCAGCACCACGACCAGCGCCATGTCCCTTATTTGATGCTCTCTTCATTCTTTGCGTTCACCCACCAAACTAACCCATGGTTTATGTCAGGCGACAATTTAACCGCCAATAGTCAACAATTAAGTTCACTGACAGTAAAGCAGTGCCGGTGTCCTAAAGAGAAAAAATGTCTAGAGGTCACACAACAGTGTGACAGGCGTAATTAATACAGTTACTTCACTGTCTCAAAAAATGTGAATTTGTCAACCAACAATGTAACAGTAGTATTTAACGGTTTTATTGGACTGCAAGAAATGCTGCAGGCCGCAAATGTACTATTTAGCACCCAAATTTTTTTTCAAAGTGCGATGTAACCACAGTATTTGACGGTTCTATTTGACTCTCAGATATGAAGTGCACGCCCCAAATTTACTTGTTAGCAACAAAAAAATTAGAATTTTTCAAAGTGCGCTGTAACCATAGTATTTGACGGTTCTATTTGACACTTAGATGTGAAGTGCACGCCCCAAATTTACTTTTTAGCACCAAAAGAATTTGAATTTTTCGAAGTGCGATGTAACCACAGTATTTGATGGTTCTATTTGACCCTCAGATATGAAGTGCACGCCACACATTTACTTTTTAGCACCAAAAAAATTTGAATTTGTCAAACTGCAA